CTTCTGTCGTTTAAAGGCTTTTTTGAAATTCTTTCGATCTTGTCATAAAATTTATCGAATGGTTAGTTGGTTATGGTTTGGTAAAACCAGGAATGAAAAAGTTATCGTTAGTATACAACGTTATTTGAGATCAGGATATGTGGCACTTCAGGAAAAATATAAAATAGATACTTCAACCTCCTGATGTTATGCCTGAGGTACTGCAACTTTTTGATTGAGGGTCGTTAGTTTCCTACCCCCTACGATGCTAGAATTTTTAAATTATTTTAATAAACGTTTGTATTGGATATATACAATTACGGACGGATGTTTATCCAAAACATCGGGAAAGTAAAAACTAGATTTTATATCACTACGAGCATGCCATACATTGAGAAGCAGGCGTGTGTCTGTCATTACGATGTAACCCCGGACAACGTAACAACACGTTAAAAAATAATTGCCTTATCTACAACTCATACCCAATTTTTACAATGATAAAACGGACGGAAATGCCTATTCAACCTAGAGACACTCACGTTAATATATTGAAACGACTATTGCACTGGATCGACGTGCAAAATACCTTCCTGACTTAACCAGAAAAAAACAACGTAACTTCTACAACATTAACCCAACACTGGTGCATTTCGGATGGTTATTTGGTCATGGCTTGACAAAACCAGGAATGGGAAGGTAATCGTCAGTCTGCAAGGCTATTTGTGATCTTGGTATGTGACACTTCAGGAAATTATTAAATAGATACTTCAATTCCCTGATGTTATGCCTGAGATATTATGACTTTTTGATTGAGGGTCATTAGTTTCTTACCCCCTAGGACACTAGAATTTTCAGATCAATTTAATAAACGCTTGTATTAGATATATGCAATTACAGGCGGATGTTTATCCGAAACTTCGGGAAAGTTAAAACCAAATTTTATATCACCACAAACATACCAATTATCGAAAAGCAGCCGTGTCCCTGCCATTACGATGTAATCCCGAACGCAATCTAACGATATTACCATTGTGCATATAATACATTTATGAATAGTGTGGTAATGTCGTTAAATCATGTTCGCAGTGAGAAATGTCCACGAAGTGATATAAATCCGGTTTCTAATTTTTCTGATAACACATTCACCCGGAATTATATATATCCCGGATTTCGATCATCAGAGAGGTATGAGCGTTTAAGATAACATAAAAATCGTAATACCCTTAATTTTTTCTTAAAAAAAAGGGTTTTGCTCCGTTGCCTTCTGACGTTTGTTCTCAAGCAACACAAGGCAGCGAAACAACACCTTAAAAAATAATTGCCTTGTCTACAACTCATACCCAATGTTTACGATGATAAAACGGACGCAAATACCTCCTCAGCCTACGGACACTTACGCTGATATATTGAAACGACTATTGCACTAGATCGTGGTGCATAATACCTTCCTTACTTAACAAGAGGAATTCAAAGTTAACCTGACACTGGTTCATTTCTACATACAGTAATCTTTTTTTAGCTGTCTCGACTTACCCCTTTCACGAAATATGTGGATAAGAAACTTTACCCATATAGCTACCCGCTTAAGACAAGTCTATACAGATTAGCACCTAACTTTACGATACTATGACTAGATACGATAGAGCCTGCACGGTTAAACCTAACACAACATCGTTACTCCATGCGCATAACTTTAGGTTTTTATCTGCGAGAACACGTGATTTTCTCTGTTAGAATCGGTTAAACCAGTAAAGTCATGCATACACATGGCTACGAATTGGTTCGACACTTTAATTAATATAACTCCAACCTATTATACACACGCACGTAATTCCCGGTAGTTCCCGTGTCATTTACCTGATACAAATATATCCATATTGATGCCCAATAATGTGGGAATATATACCATCGTTAGAACTTAGAAGTAACAAGTAACGTTTTATACAGTAAATTGGTTAAACATAATATAACCCTTACATTTAATAACGTCCCCTACAGTATGTATAGCCTAATGACACCAGCACCAATATATACCCTAGCTTATAAAGCTCGAATGTAATCTCTCACACGATTCAGCCCATAAGGACAAATGACGATATCCAGAAAATCTCGCAATACTACTAATAACCCCGATTAATACATGTTCCAAACCCGCACGGGGGCTCGATTTCACAAAATGCGCAACTACACCCGAGGCTGAATTCAATATTACCAGCACGTTCTTGCAATTCTAGAAAATGGGCTAGAATAACCTAACCCCCGACACGCATATACACATCACCGTACGAATAAACCCTTGCACATATTTTTACTTGTTACAAGAATAATTAGATAATGCCTTCCCTTAGTATATGCGTAAAATACACAAAGCATACACGCTTCATGGTTTTTCGAGAACATGACGCACTCAGATATAATTATAATTAATAAAATACCCTAATTATCACATCATTAAGCAAACACCCACACACAAAAACATATCCACACCTTCCATGAATGATTACCTCGGGACGCACACATACACAATGAAGCATACGCATTACATACAGACCTTTTCTAATTAGAAATACCTACCGCTATAACATATGAAATATACTTAAAACAATGTCGATACACACACATGAATGATTACCTCACGACACACGTAACTCCATTTTAGATAAACATACTTCTATTATTATTATTATTATTAGAAAAAACTCACATACACACGTTTACGCACATACACAATTATTAATAAGCAATTACAAATGGATCCCACATACACCTGTCTATACATATACTCAACTACTCTGCAAACCGAAAATGTGCATACAAACGCACAATTACTAAACCAATCAAAGCACATGTAAGAGAGATTCGTCTGATGTACAGATATACGTAACCAGGACGACCCACAAACACTCAAAATTTCGCCAAAAACGATCAGAGCGTCCAAACAGTAACCGAACATTCAGGCTTTCATTATCAAAATGCACGAACCTATCTCTGAAAAGCTTCGATACAAAACACTGTGCATTCGCATATCCCCCAGATCCACTATCAGTTTCTCACATCCCCAACTTTCTCCAACCGTACTCATAATGTTTATCTAATTTCCACGATCTGACACTTACTAGGTCCCACACGAGTAACGATCCACAGGCAACCACCGCCTACTAGTAATATACATGTTGCCCTAATGAAGGAACTCGTAGAAAAAACAGTACCCTCCAGTGCATAATCCTTGAAACCAGCCTGTCCTCCAGAGTAGAACGGGACCCCTCTCTAAAACGGATCGTTTACAACATTATCGGTCATGCTAAAACTTGCACTCTTCCTATGAAGAATGATCCGACATATTCCCTCACTACCATTCATACCCATCCCCTATACTCAATACACCACGCATACTGCTGCGCCCAGCCAATGGTGCTTCTAACACGGCCTCCCACTCAACAAAATCAATCTGCTTATCCGCATGCTCTTGTAGTAGATCACTCGTCAGTAATCCCACCATCTCCGCCACCACATCCACCCCCCCACATGAAACCTCATCCGGAACATCCTCCGATGTCTTCGACACGAAGACGGTCACTTCACAAAGTAAGTCATCCCAATAACCTATGCCCACGCACAGCTTCAGAACCAACCGCCCATCGACTGTAACAGGGTAGTGACGAACAGTATTACGTGTAACTCGCAGGCTATACCTAAAATCCCTATCACCACCATCACCCCGACGATGACAAAACTCCTGGATCTCAACCGTCTTGCCATGAACCTCACCCACACATGTGGTAACCACATCCATAGCTAAGCTAAGACTGGACCATAAAAAGATAAACTCCGATCCTGTCCTCGTCACACTCTTCAATCAACTCGAGTTGCCTCCAACACAGAATAACTCCTTAGGATCGTGTAAAGCCGCTCTTCTGATCACATGCAAATTCTCCGCTACGCTTTGCAAAAATCCAATTGATTTACTAAGATTCACTACGATAAATGATACACATGGAGTGCGCAGATAACTGCACACAACCCAATGGATTATGGTACACGCTTCTGCGCAGATTTGTTATCCCATAACCAAAGTCAAGCAACTAGCAATTATACTGACCAATTGGCACACACCCCCAATTTATACCTATCCTCCCATCAGCCTAACCCGCCTGCCCAACACGCACACCCCTAATAGTAAGCAATCCACTAAGAACAGAACGGGCGACAAGACCATAATTGAAAATTCACTCAAAATATTACCCAACCCTCTATTAAGCCGTACGGCCAACGCAAAAACAGCGCAAAAACAACATACAAAGATGAAAAGTTACAAACTCAATCCTGGGTAGATAAGCCCCGATACAGGGTGCCTACTTGAAAACCCTACCGGAAAATATCAACATAAGTGAAACTTCAGGTGCTTACGCAGCGATGCTCCCATCTTCTTCCTTTTTTTCAGAATATATCCAGAAACAGGGTTACTATTAATTATTTTAATTTTTAATAACAAAATTTGAACATAGATGTCTGGTTCCCTAAAATTTGAAGATAAATAATAAACCAAAATAATTAGAAAATAAAGAAAGAAAGAAAAAATATATATATATATAAAATAAAAAACTAAATGTTACACATAGTGCCCCGAATTAAAATTAATTCTTCAGATTCTTAAAATTATTAATTAAAAAAAAAAAAAAAAAAAAAAACAAAACAAAACAAAACAAAACAAAACGAGCGGTAAACATCAGCACATGTTACTACATCGCACACCCCCTGTGCTATCACCCAAAACACGAGATAACGCAACAAACACCCTATGCGCACTCTTGACACCGACTGGAAATACTCCTCACACTTCGATCTTGCACATATATACGTATACTACATATACTGGAAATAAATAAAACACTGCCTAGCAGAAAGCATAAATCTGCCCCTACCCTCATTCTTGTCAGTATCCGAACGTAACGAACCCAATAACACTCCCTAACTCAGCTAGAACTGTTAGTTAGCCAACATACCTGTACGGTACCGTAACCCCAAGGGATCGCTGAAAGATTGGTCAAACATAATATATAGCAGTATAACTAGTACTGACTACCCAACCGCAACGTGTGCAGGATGAAGAAAGCATCCTCAGGGGATGGCATCCGGAGCTCGCTACTGCCATCAGACCCTTCGCAACACTACGACCGCCCACAGCACACTGCCAAATCGCCATGCTTGTGATCCCCGCAGATGTCCTACTGCAGGTATACCAAGCCACGCTGGGACGAGCCCCATTTCTGATTCAAAATCTCTCGTTCAGCGATTGGGCTTCGCTCGTCCATATCATGCAGAACAAGCCAGAGGAGCTCGATGCCAAAATTCGAGACTTTGCCAACAACATCGCGGATTCCTGCAGAAAGGCGGCTATCGAGAACAGAGAACTGAACCTTATCATTGCCAAAGTTGAGAAGATCATTCTCGAGCTACATGGATATGACACGTCGCACCTAGATTCCGCAGGACAGATCTCCTTTACAGAGAGAAGCGAAACCTTCAGCGAGACCTACATCAATCGCATGTCGCTCTCGCAGGCCGAACTCGAGTACTTCAGAAAGAAGGAGGCCGAATGGAGGAGCAATGCACATACTGAGCTCACACCAATCACAAGAGACGCTGGCCATAAGTACGCTAAGAATAGCCCATTTTTGCCGTTGGCATCCAGCACCTGGACGGAAAAGGCCGTACTACGCGTCCACAACCTTCTCTGGAAACTTGACACCTTCAACTACACGGCGCCAATCAGTGTCGAAGCATACATGGCGCTTGCTGGGATCACAGATGCAGAAGTAGATAACTGTCGCGCTGCTGCTAGGAATGGCACTATCTACTTTCCTGCGACTAGAAGCGGTTTAGACGCAGAGTTCCCGCCAATTGCCAATCTCGAGAAGGGAAAATATCCAAAGAGACCGCTCCTCCACCAAAAAGGCATCCCGAAGTTCCCCACAAATGTCTCTGAGCTTAAAAAGATCTGGAATGCAGGAAGGCCTTACCTGAAGTGTACATGCAACGGATGCGAGAGCAACTTCACATGGTTCGACCACATGATCTGATACGTCATCGGTAACCTGGACAAGATAGACCCACAGGCTCCATCGGACAAGATCAGGATGCTCGAGTTCCAGGCACTCCTCCAAACAACGTGAAGAAAGCCGATACTCGCGCAGATTTCCTTCATCTTCATGAGAGAGTACATGATCAAGATCGTAAACCTCCTCACACAGAATAGAACAATCTCTGCAAAGGAAGTCCCGGAGCATGAAGACCTCAGACATGTGCCATTCGCCCACAAGTTCGCTGCTGCCCTGCTCCCTGGCGCCGATGGGGTCCTATCACAGTTGGCAAATGTGAGGCCCTCCACATAAGTTGAAGATAATTCACTGAGAAGATGTAGGCAAATGAGACTCGGCAGCACGCCGATCTCAAACGCCTCACTCACCACACCGGTCCAAACGACAGCCACCACTCCCGTACAACAGACACAGATTGGCAACACACTCACAAGACAGTTTGACACCTTGACTTACAGCATGCAACGTACCACCAGCACACCATCCTGAACCACTCTCACTCTTACACCAACAACAGCCACTGCAACTGGGACTGCAGCACACACAACACCATTACACATAGATAGGCAGCCACCACAACACGCTGCAGAAACAAGCACACCATATCGCAACACGACACCTATTAATCTGAGTTCCACAACAAGTACTGTTACCCACACAATACATGGCACTGTGAACAACACGGCATTCAACGGCAAAGGCAACACCATACACACGCTACAAAGACACATTGCCAACACAGGAACCGCACACAGACCAGCAATAGAAGGATTCGCACATACACAGTCACGAAGTAATGCCTTTGCAACTGCTGCCGCACAACTCGCTGCACAACAGACCACTGTAGCATCCGCTGTCAACGCCACCGCCACCACCACTGTGCAGACTGCGACAAGACCAACCAGCACTACACACAACGGCTACACAACGCCCGTGAACAACCTAACCACTGCACGCACAACACACATCGTTGATAACACAGAACCCAGGACCACAATGTCATTCCCAGCGCACCTAAACACACATATGATCAACCAAACTGTCGTAGTCCCCACAGATAGCCAAAGGCAGGCGCGCCGACGTGAACAACTTCTCAGTATAGCCATGAATCCACTTCCATCTGAGGCCAGAAGAAACCGCAGAAGATGCAACAAAATGCAAAGGGTGCAGCTTCCACAAGCAGGGACACAGACCAAGAAGCAAGCAAGAAGGAAGAAGCCACAGTATGATGGACGACAGCCAGACATACAGGAAGCCTTCCTGGCTCAACAGCTACGACAACCGATGATTGCAGCTCACCAACTTGTTCCATCGCAAGATGCGCCAGAGACAGCGACTTTCCATGCACCAACTAGTGCTCCGATGCTACCAAGAGAAGAACGTGAATGGACGCCACGTGCTGACCAGATCCTGGGACAATGGGCACAGAGGGACACAGCTGCGGCAATCCCCCCTTCCGATCGGCAGACTGCAACAAACGTTGAGGTCATCCAGGTCAGCAGCTGCGACATCAATGACGAAGAGAGAAGACAGCTGCCCATCACAATCAGCTCCCCATCACCGGACACCCCTATCGTGCCTCTCTCTGGTATAGACACCCTGAGAACAAACTATGGAGCAAGTAGTGCAGACTCTTCGCTGCTCCGAACCAATAGTGGAAACACGACGCAGTTGGCAGAATCTCAATCTTCAAAGGAGTCATGGAAACGTGTCTGCAGAAGACTTAGTCCGGACTACTAATACAACCTTCCTAACTTAGTTAGAAGCTAGCTCGATAGGGAACCGTAGCAGATTGCATAACCTTGTAGAGACGCTATTCAGTTCTTGGACAGTCACTAGGAACACTGTCTAGATCCTGAGCAGCCGTTATGATAGCCAAGTAGAAATTATGCAGATGTTGCTCTATACTACAAATAGACAGACGACTAGTGGACTCCCCCTACAAGAACACCACACGAAATGACTTACGACTGTTGGGAAACCTAAATGGACTATGACTACCGACACATAGCTCCCCTTTGAAGAAATAAGCACGGACCACTGTGAGCTCTAAACAAACGATAAGAACAAGTGTTGTTTAGAACTCAATATTCTTTTGGTTAACAGAGGATTTAAGGGTATGAGAAAATGAAGCGGTTGAAATCCTTTTCGAACTTTTCGTGGCTTGTAGATGTTCTTTAATTATATAGAGAGCACAAATCAAGTCAATAATTTTGTTCACTCAACCACAATTCCTTCTATATCTCTGTGCAGCTGAATAATTGAAACGATAAGTATTTGTTGGCCTGAGTATCTTCATACATTTATGCAAGCACAACTGATGACATAAGTGAATCCCAGCTAAAGTGGATGTGACATTGAGGCTACATATGAACACCTGTCAGTCCCTGTTTTTGTTTAAAAATTCTCTTCATTTGAAAATATATTGGATGCGCTGCTAAATATAGATCACAGTTCGACTACGAATGTGCTGTTGTTGATGATCCGCATGACCACGCCTTCTGTCTATGCCTATGGGTTTTTCTGCCCATCTGTGAACGCCTGAATACAGAGGGACATACATTTCCGTACATGCCCTACCAGGATATTTGTAGCAGCACGATACTCAGGTTGTGCATCTATATAACTAAGGACACAATTGGTAGTGGATAAAACACAGGAAAACCTGCCAAACAAATCCTGATGCACCGAAAGCTACATGTGCATATCCGCCGGTACGAATAATGAATGCCTGTAGGCGTACGCATGAATCACCCTGGGAATGTCTTTTCGATGTGCCTATTTGTCTGTGGTGATACTTGGGTTTATGTCTATGTGCTGAAAGGCCGTTTTTTTATCACACAAGTACGTTTGCGTAAGTCTAAGTCTATCGAAACGTGCTATTGTTAGCCATCCGCAAGACCACATCCGCGGACTATGCCTATTTAAGTTTATCTGGCCCTCTGAGAAGCACCGAGTATAGAGAGGCAGACGCCTATGCCCTACCAGACTATGTTGCAACACGGCTCTCAGGATCTACAGATGCAAGATCACAATTGATTATTGGAATACCTTTCCAAAAGACCATGCTACACCAAATCAGTAGGAGCATGTAATCATCTATGAGTAATATGGACTGGTGGGCATCCACATGAATGCCCTGGAGGAATGTCCCTGAGGATTGTGCCAAACTGAATATTTGACTATTAGCGTATGGTAGTACCTGAATCTGCCGAAGGACCATGTCTGAAGCCCACATATATGTATACGAAAGTATAAATATGACTAAAAAAAAAAAAAAAAAACACTCCTCAATAACCCCATAACTGCAACCACTAGACACATACCCAGACAAGTAAGTAAAATTACAGCTCTGCGAAAGAACACAAAACATCACCAATGAACTAGCAAATTTATAAGTACATAAACCAACAAGGAATACCAATACTGCAAATGCACTTGTACAAGCCCATTAGTTGCAGATCCAACCTCATGCCGCCTTACCAATATACCCAGGTTTATGGGCCACAAGATTAATTAAATACAACCAACCATATTAACTCCACCGACCCCCCTGCAGTATGACTGCTGAAAAGAACGCCTCAAACCTTGAGATTGTTGATATCTAGGCTCAATTCACCAATTGTTTGTCAAACGCGCAGGATCGAAGGCTTCAGACAATGAAGGACGGAAGACTTGGCTAGAGATCAAGGAAAGAATCAGATAAACAGATCATCTCCTGCCACTATACAAACCGAATAATGGACCGAATACAGTTAAAAAATATCTTTAAAAACATACTACTAAAACATAACCCGGAAGCCCTGCATTTCTTGGAAAAATTCACCTTTTCATGGAAATACAACGACCATATAGCGAAAACACTATATAAACCGGCTGCAGTTTTTCAGGACTTCAAACTGTCAACTTGGATAGAACAGATCCCTGAGAGGTCCTTCTGCCAGCAACCCAAATATGGACAGTTCACCAATGAACTCCCAGCTGACATGCTTCCCGAAGGAGAACAACCACATGTTATCACACTAGACCTTAATATTACGAACAACACCAACCTTCGTGGCATGATAAAAAACGGACTAAATCATATTCCACCCACTCCACTTAATACAGAAGAAGTGGTACGTGCAACTGAGCTAGTATGGACACAAGTCATGATAGCCCTCCGGAAAAACGGTTCACCTCTAACCAACTCTCAAGAAGAACAGACAAAAATAGACTTTAACAGAGTAATCAACCAGAATCTCGAAAACATAACCACACATAGAGTAATAAGCCTTAACGATCACGCCATCAAACATGAAATTGACTTTCTAACTAAAAACTTCTACATATCCGGTGCTGACAAAACATCCAACACCCCGGTATTCGCCTGCATTAACCTTGTGAGGTACCTTGCACTCCAAAGGCTAAGCAACCCTGACTTCGAGCAGTGTATGTTCTCTGCTACTGAACTTTTAGAAATACCGAAACAACAGCTAACAGTTAAACTCCCAGACATCCCTATTGGCAAAATGGAAATACCTTACTTATTTGCCACATATAAGAAACACAAAAACTCCTTTCGCTGGTTAACCAATGCAGCAGATGTCATCACCACACCACTGGCTTACCTAAATGTTGTGATACTTGCGGCCTTGATCCGGAGTGTGAAAATCCACTGCGGCATACTAACACAGAAAGTACTTATGGAAACAGGACTCAAAGTGCCCTTCTGGTGGCCGATAGACTCAACAACAGACTATACATACAACCTCCCACAAAATGTATTCTCTGTCTTTTCTGCTGACATAACCCGATGCTACGAAATGATCCCCACTGACGATAGCAAAGATTGCCTTCCGGCCGCCATCAAGTTTTTATGTAAGATTGTCTTTAAGCAGGCAAGAAAAACACACGGAAGAAATGTACAGCTAACCTGCAAAATATATAAAAATAAAGAAACATGGATCCCTAGCTGCGACTGGTTTATAAACCCACCAAATGGGTATCTTACCCTCAATGAAAATATTGTCCAAAAAATTAATAATTGGCTAATAAAAAAAACATACACAT